CAAAGAAAGATAGCAAAAAAGGCAAAAAGGATTCAAAGAAGGGCAAGGATTCAGGCACAGAATTAGAAGCTGTAAAAGCAGATGAAAAAAAGGATGAGGACGGAAAAAAAGATGCAAACAAAGGTGATGAATCGAAGGAGGCCAAGAAGGATTCCAAGAAAGATGCAAAGGAGAGTAAAAAAGGTAAGAAAGATAAGAAGCCCAGTAGTACGGACAGTGACTCCAAGGATGATGTCAAGAAAGAGTCTAAGAAGGATGCCAAGAAAGATGCCAAGAAAGTTACTGACAAAGAATCTGCTGAGTCCAAGAAGGATGAAAAGAAAGATGCAAAGAAGGATGAAAAGAAAGATGCAAAGAAGGATGCAAAGAAAGATGAAAAGAAGGATGCAAAGAAGGATGCAAAGAAGAAGGGCAAGTAGGCCTTGGATTAGAATTCGCACTGCAAGAATAATTCAAAAGCATATCTGATGAAACAATAGTGGTAGTCTGCAACTGAATTTGTGAGAAAACAAGAGGGTTCAAAGAATTAAATAATTTTTAAAAGGTAGTAAAGAAGGATACAAAGGAGAACTCAGAAGAGGTTTATAAAAATGTATAAGAAAGATGTCAAGAAAAATTAAGGGGGGATCCATTGAAAGACTTGAAGAATATATATACTTAAATTTGGGGATATGAAGGATTCAATGAATGATCTCTAGAAAGATTTAAAGAATATTCAGATAAGGATGTTGAAGATAATGACATTAAATCTATGGAGACACACACACAGTTTAATGAAGGCTTAAAAAATCCAAGGAGACAGATGTTGTATCTATAAATTTAAAATAATCTCAAACTGCATCCACAGATTTAAAGAAATATAGGAGCCATGAAATGAAGTTAAACAGCTTGTAGAAAGTCTGCTCTTAAGTAAATGTAGCATTCCTTTGGGAAAAAAAAAAAGAAGTAAAAGAAAAGAAAAAAAATGTATTACCGCCTGATGAGCCTACATCTTTCTTTCTGAAGTTTAAACAACCACAATCATGTTTATGGTTGTTAGATGTCCCACTTCCAACCCAAAAGAAACACACTTGGTAAGTCAGTTTTCTTTTATTTTAAGTCAGATTGAATTAATTCTTGTCTTTTTCATTTTTGTGCATACATAGGAGACGTAATAATAATTGAACCAAATTATAACTAGATAAGAGGAATAAGTTCAAAAGATCTATTGTACAGCGTGGTGACTATAGTTAATGACAATATATCGTATTCTTGAAAAATGCTGAGAGAATGAACGTTGTGCTTTCATTGCATAAATGATAACCATGTGAGATGATGCTTATATCAATTAGCAAGATTTCAGGATTCCACAATGTATACATGCTTCATGACATCATTTTGTACATGATAAATATGCTTTTACTGATCAAATTAAAATAAATAAATTTGAAATAATAAAAATTAAACCAATGTAAAGGTTCAAATTGACACTATTCTTATATTATCTCTAGTTTTCTGATTACATTTCTTTTAGAATTTTATGAAGTTTGGACTTTCTCATTTTAAGAAATATTCGAAAAACATGGAGAGACAACCAAATAAATAAAGCTTTAAAAAGGGTCCATGGAAAGGTTAAGGAAGTCTCTCATTAGAGAGAGGTTACTAGCTTATGATAGATGATATTATTACCAATTAAGCATCCAAAGTTTTAAAACAGAAAATAGCAACCAATTTATTTTGACTGAAAGAAGGATGAAAATCAAAATTGTCTATTACTGACAAGAACAAATTTAAATGAGGCATATGAAAGAGCTACTTGATAAATGGCTAAATACTTCACAAAACTAAATTAACCAGAATTTAACAGAGTGTAACAGAGTAAGAATATATACATAATATTTATTTAGATGTAGAAACAATTAACTTGCTGTCTTTAAAACTATATTATTAAACTCTGTTGTGACCCGTAAGTCCTATCGATTTGAGGAAAAATAAAAAGCAATGTTAAGCAAAATACAATATCCTTGAACTTCTCAATTAATGACAATTCATTTATTCTGATTTAACATTTTCTTAAATACACTCAATGTTGTTGCAGAACTTGCTAAATGATTTTCTCTTCTCTTTATTATCCCATCATCCATATAGAAACCATCATGTTTCTCCCTGGGTCAAAGCTTTCTAGTGTGCTGATGCCGCACTTACCATCAATTTTTCTTTTGCTCTGGCTTATAAATCCATTAATGATCAGTCTGCTGGCTATTTGTCTGCCCTCATGTGACAACACTACTCCTTTTGTCTACCAGGCACTTGTTGCACTGGATTTTTAAAAATATTTTACCACACGTAACCTTACAATATAAAGCCTTTACACTTGTTCCTTCTCCGTAAAATGCAATTCTCCTAGAACATCGCATTGACTCCTTGAAAATAGTAATTCTCAGCTTACATTTTATATTTCCAGATATTTTTAATAGACTAATTTATTTTTTGACACAGTGTCTCTCTCTGTTGCCCAGGCTGAGGTACATTGGTGTGATCATGGCTCATTGCAGCCTCAACCTCCCCAGGTTCAGGTGATTCTCTCACCTCAGCCTCCCCAGTAGCTGGGACTACAAGAGCTCTTCACCATATCCAGATAATTTTTGTATTTTGTAGAGATGGATTTTTTCCATGTTGCCCAGGCTGGTCTCCAATTCCTGGGCTCAAGCAATCCACCTGCCTCAGCCTCCCCAAGTGCTTGGATTAGAGGGGTGGTACTATCAAAGACTGGGTGTTAATAATTACATCATGGAGAATGGGGTAATCACCTCTTCAAACATTTATCCTTTGTGTTAAAAACAATACAAATATACTCTTATAGTTATTTTTAAATGTACAATTAAGTTATTATTGACTATAGTCACTCCAATGTGCTATCAAATAGTAGGTCTTATTCATTTTTTTCTAATTTTTGTGCATTAACTATTCTAATCTCTCCTTCAATTTCCCACTACTTTTTCCAGACTCTGATAACCATCCTTCTACCCTCTACCTCCATGAGTTTGTTTAATTTTTAGATACAACCAATGAGAGAGACATGAAATGTTTCTCCACATCTTTGCTAACACTTTTATCTTTGTGGTAATAGCCAATTTATATATATATATCTCACTTAAATATACATACATATATGTACACACATACATATAGGTATATACACACATACATATATGTATACACATTCAATTTATTACATTATACATGTATATGTATATATATACACGTCAATAGAGCAAAATAGAAGATAACATTTAAAATAACCTATATCATTTTCAGTGGCATCAAAAATATGCAATAATTTTTTATCACTAATTGATGTCTACTTATTCCAACTTATTTTCATGAGAAATCAATGCAATTAATCTTAAACAAATAAGAATTACTGAAAAAGGGCACAGAAGTTACAAGTCATATACAAAGTTGGTTGTGTACCAAGTGAAAAGTCTTATACAAGATTACTTTATAATCAAGAAAATGCTTATAAAAGCAGTAGCAAAATTCAAAATTATTGCATAATTATAATCATATTCAAGTTATCTCACAAATGCTTAATCCACAAAATATTTTTTAAGTTAAAATCACAGCAGCAGCAAAAATGACTACTATTTATTTACTACTATTTGCTAAACACTTTCCTCATATTATCACTTAATTCTCACAACAATCCTAATACATCTCCATTTAACTGAAACTCAGAAAGTTTAAGTAACAATAAATTTGCACAGATCGTGCAAAATTAGAATTGGAAGCTGAATGAATCTCATATGATATCAACATTTAGACTGTGGTTATGTAGTGTAATTGTGGATTTGGGAGAATTTTTCTTTAGCACCACAGGTTCAGTTTCTTCATATCCTATGTATCTTTATTTGCAAAAATGTATAGTTACATTAAAATTACATAAAATTATATTATTTTTTAAAGATCTACTACAGAATTTGAGAAGGCAGTTGTTCTATTCATAATTGCTCACCATCAGCCTCTCCTGCTACTACTGTTTCTACTCTCTATACACTTTGTGTCTGCTCAGTAAGTATTGCACATTGCTTAGTAATTTACATTAGTTGTATTTGCAGGAATGTGCTGTATTGAACAAATATGGAAATTAAAAATGTGCATTAGAATCCTAGATCAAGCATTATGTAATAATAAAAAGGGACTAAGAAGCAGGATGTAAAACATTAAACTCAAAGAAAAATGGAAGAATACTAGTGTACACCTAAGAATATTGATTCTAGAAACCATTAGAAAAAATAATAACTAGATATAAGATTATCTGCTAATGATTAGTAATGTTCTCTAACCCCTCCAACATAAGGACTTCCTTGGTATATATGCATTGAGAGAGTGACAGTTAACACTGAAACATATGTATGTATGAATACATACATGCATGTACACACATACAAATAAAAGACTGCATTTTTGTTATTTTATTTATTATTTTTGCACCAAGAGGACAATATGCATTGTTCTCCATTATTTTCTTTTGTGAATTAAGCTGTTTGAGGATTTTTTCCCCCTTCTGTTTGCTTAACTTTTAGAATAACTTTAAAACATAGGTTTCTCAAGTACTAGGGGACATGAAATCGTTATATTTCATAAAAAATGTTTTATATCTAACATTGTCACATAGCTTTGATGGCTAAGTAACTTATTGAATTTGGTACTTTAGGTTGAGGAACTTAAGCTATTTCTATAGAAAAGGTAACAGTCATTCTGTAATGGTACTTGAAACCTGATGAAACCACATGAGTGACAAAAATGGGGTCCAAGTGAAGCTAAACGATTTTGAAAAATGGGGGAGGGAGGGATGGCTAAGAGGATAAGGCACTATTAATACAATTTCAAAATGGCTCAATTTTGCAAGAGATGGCAAAATCCAAAACCAATGCTCTGTAGGTTTATATAGTAAAGTTTTCTAAAGTTTATTTATGAAATAAACAGAAAAGTTTGCCTCCAGAGAAAAAGGTATTAGTCTAAGGGTCATAAACATCCTAAACTTACATGCAAGTGTTATAGTGATTTGCATTATTTTTTATACAAAGTTTGGCCTATTTAAAAAGTGAGAGTCCAGGAAAAATATAAAAGGAATTTTTAAAATGACATTATTCCATTCTCTTTGCAACATATATCTTTGTCAAATCACAAAGTAATAACTTAATAATACTTAGATCATAGATCATTCCCCCCGCCCCCCGGGTCCTTTTTTTTTTTTTTTTTTTTTTCCTCTAGTCTCGCTCTGTTGCCCTGGCTGGAATGCAGTGGCATGATCTCAGGCTTACTGCAACCTGCATCTTCATGTTCAAGTGATTCTCCTGCCTCAGCTTCTCTGGTAGCTGGGATTACAGGTATGCATCACCACATCCAGCTAATTTGTTATTTGTTTCATTTTTGT